ATATTATTTTATAAAATATTAAAAATTAAATACCTATGGGGCTTACGTCCCGCTGAGGCATATATAAAATGCCCCACCTTACGCCCACGCCTTTTAAAACACTGATACAAAGAAGAAGAAGAAGAAGAAGACTCCTCCTCCGCCTCCTCCTCAGATCTATACATACAACATATATTCATCCGCTATTGAAGATACGTACAACATACAATCATTGAAGAGGGGAACCTTTAACTTAAATTTCGCCGGAAAAAGAGGCAGTAATGGATAAAGACACTGGAGAAGTTCCTCGGAGATGAAAAACAGCATGACCGCACTGGGGAAGAGAGGGGGAGGCGTAGTCGGCTTGATGGACTTGACCGAGGAAGATAAATCTGGGCCTGTGGTAGAGGGCCCCAGATAAACTAGAATTTAATCGGTGCAATTCCTTTCTTTTGTTCTTAACGAGCTACAGAGAGTATTTGCTATAAAATTCAAAGCGTAGCTATATGCATTATAATTATTTTAAAATAATATTTTTATGATAACTATAGTATATAAGTTAGTTATACCATATAAATTTTTCTTAAAATACCCAAAACAACATCCACGAAGCCTTCTTAGGCCAATAACTACGTGCAAATAGCACAGACTAGTCAGTTTTCGGAATGGTCATTCAAAAATAGCCGGCGTTTGCTAAATCATTGAAAAATAGCCACTATTTTGCTGCAACAAAGATCGGTCCAACATAATTTACTGGAGTTCGGTGCACCTGTGTATGAACTTCCAGTATATTATGCTGGACTGATATACTTTGCTGGCTCCAGTATAATATACTGGAGTTTCAGTATATTATGCTGGAGTATTTTCCGGATTTTGAACAGTATTTTCGTTCAGATTTATCTTTACATGAAAATTAGCTAAATTTCGATGACTTTTGAAACGGCGGTTATTTTTGAATGACTACTTATAAATCTGACTATTTTTGAATTTCTCCCGATAACTACAGACTACTAAGTTGATCACCTAGCTATGAAGCACATCAGTTAGTAGCTACATACATTCACTTAAGACACCTACTAACATGGCTATTCAACTTATAAGTATCGATTTCTATTTACATCGACTTTAGCCTATAATATGTAATTGTAAAGCTATTTCTCTAACCTTCGACAATTACTTTCCATCCATATATGATAAACAACAGTTGCAAACATAAATGCCAAAATAGTAGACTTTGAGTTCCTGCTATTCACCCTGATGGAGAGTCAGTTAACCTCTTCCTTCCATTAGTCAATGTGCCTATTAATGCCTAGCTAGGTTAGGAGTTTCTGCCATAGGAACACGAAACGCGACTATTTCGGCTCTTAAATGTGCATATATAACACTCTCGTCGGCCTTTGCATTTTAGCCCATGTTTGTTACTCAACTAGGCCCAATAATTATCCATACATATGGGCTAAGACTTTTATTATATATTAAATTTAAAATAAAAATAATAAGTGCGGGGAGGGCAGAAAACTATGGTACCCCAGAGTGGGCAGGAGCTGGTTGAGTCCATATCGTCGCGTAGCAACAGCCACGTCCCTCCCCTACTTTTTCTTTTTCTTTCCACTCCAAAAAAACGAAATGCGGGAATTAAATCAATCTAGCGTAATGTTTCTTGCTAGCCATAACGTAAAAGGATAAGCTAAGCTCTACAAATAAGACAGCTACATAGAAAAGGAAAAAAAAAAGTAAAGAAAAACAATTTCATGCTGACTTTTCAAACTCCTTTAGTTCAAATTCAAAATGCTCAGGTTAACACATATTCACCAAAAGTTATTGAAACCTCTTTTTATCTTACAAATTTGTAAACACATATTTTATACTTTTGGGTTCATAAAATTTTAGGTATACAAAATTGTTTAACAAAAAAGAAGTCTTACACAACTAGTGTCAGTTGTCTGAGACATAAAATAATTTTTTTCTAAATCTATTGTCTGAAAGACTCATATTTATATAATTATTATTAAATCATTTTTTCTATTAAATCTATTAAATCAATTTTTTCTTCTTCTTTTATTTGGCCATAGTCTTATTGTTTACCACTGAAGGAAAAAGGAAAGATGAGTGAAGACCAATTAAATTAGGTTAGATATTTTTACTTAAAGATTAGAAGAGAATCAGGGTAGGAGTGCTATAAAAGATTTTACCTAACTACTTAGGCATTTGTTTAAAGATCAGAAGAGAATCAAAGTGGAAGCGTGGGGAAGATTTTACCTAATAATTCTTTTAATTTTCTTTAAATAGAATGACAAATATCTGTAAAATCAAAATAAAATGATTAACTGCAAGCTTATAGCTAAATTCAACTAACAAAACCTAACTTGGAAACAGGAAATAATACTTTTACAGGCCATCAAAAATATATATGGACCAAAAAAAGTGATGAAAGACAAAAAAGAGTAGTTCAAGATAACACAAATCCACTTTAACCGCTTTCCTTCCCAAATAAATTACCCATATATTCTCTCTTCTCTCTCGTTTTTCATTTTTACCAAATATCCAAACCCTAATCTGAAGCAATCACCGATTATCTCAAAATTGCTTCTGAAATTCGCCGGTTCTTCAAATCGGATACGGAGTGTTTCCATATAATTTTCGTTGCTATATTCAGGTAATTATCCTTTTCTTTTTCTTAAAAATATTTCATATCCTATTTCTTACGATTTTTGAGGATCTATGCGATTTGCAGCTTTGATGAGGTTTTTTTCTTGCAAAATTGGTACTTCTTTTAATAGTTTTGGTACTTGCGTAAAAATTATTTGTATTATTCAGAGTATTCAGGATTACTTGTTTGGATTAGTTGGTGGATGGTAATGTTTGTTTCTTTATTTATTTTCTTTTTGTTAAAACTAATTTTGATGTAGAGTGAAGTGTCATTTTTTCCCTCAAAATAAATTCAGATGATGGATCGTTGCTAATGGGTCGATTTTGAAAATAAAAAAAATTCATTGATGTCATGTATTTTGGTGTTATGAATGCTTAATTTGATGCAACTCTTATTGTAGTTCTATTCGAGTCTGGTTTCAGATAGGATATAAAGATTCAGTAATTGTTGTTTGCAGGCTGATGAACATGATTTCTGATCAGTTAATGGATTTTGGACTTAGTTATTTGTTCTGTTTGGTTTTCTTTAAAGCTATGTCATTCTAGTATGAAATTTTGTCTTTATATATTTTGTATGCGTTGGGCTTTTAGAGAATAGAGCTTCATGTTAGTTCATTGAGTGTACCAGATTGAATATCTGTTTATATGTTAAGGGCGATTGATGCAATACCATGTTCTAGTGCTTCTGGTTATTCATTTCATTTTGCTTAGTTTTAGTTTGTACTGATCTTTATTTTTTATTTGATCAGGGATTATGGCTCTTGCGCAGACTTACTATTCACAAGGTGGCCCTTTTCGTGGAGACTCTACGTCCTTTTATGGTAGAAGCCAGATTAGTGGAAAACATTCCTCAGCTTACAACCATTATAACACTGTTGTTAGCCATCTTTTTAGATCTAATGGTTCCCATGACTTGAGTAGAAATTTTAGCGAGTATAGCTATGGTTATGATAATTTCGTAAAGCCTGAGGCTGGACCTTCTTTGAAGAGGAGGAAGTGTTCAGCTTCTGGTTGGGCAAGCAGTGGCAGGTACTCTCAAGCAACCAATTCATGTAACGATGTTCCTTCAAAGCAGCCAAGCACATGTAATGTTCCTTTGAGGAATTCCAGAGCGTATGATGATGCACATTCAGCCTGTAACAACAACTCAGCCATTACTACCAGTACTTCTAGACCTCGTTCTGATGCAAGCGCACCCACGAGCTCTAAGCGCGACCGCTCATGGCTTGAGTATACTGAAACTGATAATATCTTTATGTCTAGGGAGCAAATTGATAAGTGCTCCCCGTCCAGGAAAGATGGTATTGATGCAATGCATGAAGCACATTTGCGGTACTCGTATTGTGCTTTCCTCCAGAACCTCGGAATTCGCCTGGACCTGTAAGTTCCTTTTGGGATTTAATAAATTGTATCTTACACATTTTTGCAATTTTTAGTTCAAACAGGCTCTGAAGCTTTTGGGGTTTGCCTTCTCCTAGTTTCTTCAGGAGGATTGCCAGCATAAGTTGCTTGATCTTATGTATTTGTTATCTGATGGAACTAATAATTATTTGTACCTTCTTGCAGGCCACAGACCACTATTGG